GGGGGGGAGGGGAGGCGGGAGGGGACGAGAACTTTCGAGAAGCGCCACATTGACCCAGATGAATTTAATAGACAATGTTTTCAAAATTGCGGCCGAAGTGCCCGTAATTTGTGTAATTTTCGGTTGACTGCGAAAAAGAAACTAAGCTAATAATCTGTAATGTTATAAATTGATGTTCTTTTAAATACAAACCCCAATTTAMAAATTAACCGGAGCGTTTTGTAAAAGAAATGCAACACTCAGATGAAGGGAGAAGAAGAAAAGAAAAAAACAACAACTATAAACAGGGAAAACCCTCGTGAATTCACAAAAAAAGTCGCATTTACTGGGGCGAAAAAAAGGATGTGCCGCACCTCCTCCACCACCAGCTCCCTAAGCTAGTGCACATGAATGCCAAAATGCRCGATATCAAAAATTAAATTATCGACTCTTATATTTCAGGAAGGCATACCACAATTTGGACCATTGAATCAGGATCGTGGCAGAACGGCAGAAAGACCAYAYACTCAAAACAAGAAGATTTTTAACAGGATTTGTCGGGAATAAAGTAATTTCACAAATCAAGTGTGTTTGRTGTAATGTTTCTATGAGTCAGCAGCTAAATGCAACAACTTGAGGCGCAGCCGAGAGTCAAAATTCGTGTCAGTTACAAAAGTCCATAAACACACGTTTACCGTCAAGAAATAAACATACAAAGGGCGGGAACACCGACTCGTCATTGAGGCAATAATGTTTGAATAATATAAACTAGACGCTCTGGGAGCGTGAAGTCGGACTAGCTGCTTGTGAAAATTGAGAAAGACAGGATATTACATGGATGAAAATATTTCTTAACTTTTTTTTCCAAAACAGCCGAACTCACGGTGTAATAAGAGCGTCTAGTTCAAAATATGCAAAATTTAKTGAGACTTTAAATAAACTTGACCTAAAAGGTCAATGTAATTAACGCGATAAGAACGTGGCTTGCTTTCACTGATAMCATCAACTAGCTCAGACAAATGTCTCGCTAAGTGATATATGATATCTAAAACGTTGACCTCTCAGGCAAAGAAAATAAAAACTTTACARGGAAAAAGATGCCTATAAAATCATTAAATTCGCCTTTCTGTTATTGATAAACAAAGTTTCTTCTTGTTCTAATTTGAAATCTTTACCCCCACAAGACTGTCTAACACTAGAAAGGATATTGATTCAGTTTTGTAAGCATACAACTCGAAACTCTATGCGATCTGCACATGCGCGTACTTCTAATGCCTAGACAGACGCATTCCGATGAGATCACAGATACCACATTTGTAAACGAATAGTTTTTTTGTCATATAAAAGCCAAGTAGCATATAACATTTACTAGCGATATTCGTACATCAATACGCTTGAGCTTCAGGTCATGTAATAACACAGCCAACCCAATAGTTAATTATTAAATTCTTAACTTCCGGTGGTCCAAACGCGACATGACACATAGATAGATAGATAGATAGATTGGCTAAAAGGTAAATTTAAAGTCGGACCGCCTTCGGCTAGTCCGACTAATGAGTCGATAACAGGTTGAACGGTCCTCYTTAGGTCTGAAGAAATAATACCATGTATAAAGAAAGAACGAGRAATGTTAAATTTTCATTGCGCGAAACTTGCTTTAATACGAAGAGCTTTTGTGTTTGTTTTTTCGAATCTACACGAAATYRTACATATCTACAAATCACATGACATAATCAACCAATCAGCTCGTCCAGGCCATAGTCACGTGCTAAAGAACTGGCTTTGTCTTTAGCCTTTAGAGATATAAGATACTGAATGATCTTCTTAGTGGCGCTCCTATTACAATAGAAGATAATGTTAGTATGGGTATTGAGCTGTATATGAGCAAATCAGCGTGACAAATACAGGATATTACATGGGCGCGCGGAGATACGGATTTTATCTTCGAKTRTTGAAAWGATCTCTCACSAGTGARCGTAGCGAAAATATAAACTTTACGAAATGGATAAATATACTAGGTATTTCATAGATAATTATATGATTAGCCTTTTTTTACATTTGCAAATTATAAAGTTGGTTTCTGTGYGCACCGAAGCGATAAAAGAAACAAAGAACAACAAAACGAAGCTAAAAAAATGACCAAAACACAAAGAAACCCAATCACAATAAAAAATAATAATAAAAAAAATAATAAAAAAATTGAGGCACACACAGGGCCCAGAAAAATGAACTGAAGACCATAAAATATTGCGTCATTTTTATCTGAAACCTAAATCTTGTCGTCAAAATTTCTGCGCGGATTAGAGGGAACTTGCCAAAGAAATAAAAATTAAGGAGATACCTGGCCTTTTTCTTGTCGACATCAGAACAACCTGCGCTAGAGCGTTGCAGACATGAAGCAAGGTTAAGAAGAAATCGCGAAAAGGTCTCTAGTGTAGGCAACGTAGTGTCTGTATAATTAGCAAGCCATGATTTCGGTATAGAGTTGGTTATCTGAAGAATGAGAAATATATTATAAGGATCTAGAAAAGGGGAAACTCCACGCGGATAACGCGATACCAACAAACTATGGCACAATGGTACGGTTACGGAGAAACTGAAATGGCGGAAGTATAAAAATGACAAAATAAAATAAAAATAACAGAAAAASAGACGGCCCTGGCGACAGGAATGTGTACATATTAGAATTATGACTTGGGCTTCTAGTTTATTCTACCAATACAACCTATACGTTTTCTTTCAATAGAATAAACTAGGAGCCCATTCTTTATAACTCTGGGTAAACCGCTTTGTATTTATATTCAATGATGAAGCCGGAAAATCGTCTGACATTAAAGATCACAGAATAAGTGCCTTCAAAAGTCATAGCTTTTCCAATATATCCACATCCAAGGCATCGCTACAAATATATTCTCACGATTGCGTACTTACCAATTTACATTTTTCTAGACTATCATARTACAGACTAGAGTGTTGCAATCCTAATATAATGTATCGATTGAGAAGCCCATCAATTGCCAATTGTTGTATAGCGGTTGGCGACAACAGACCATCCCATAATAAGATATTACTGAATAGCTAAAAGCGTAAAAAAGGTACGAATGATATCAAAAATGTATGCAGTTTCCATATCATAGGAATTGTCCGTTATTCAAAGTACTTTRRAATTGTTTTTCAAATCTCTTGATAAGGACAAAGAAWAGKCAATATGCAGCGCCGCCATTTTGTGCAGCAAAGCATGATGGAAGTTGTAGTCCTCGTACTTTTTCATTTCCGCTAAAGCAGCCCTTATGAAATRTTTTTGCTYTTTCTAAGTTAACATAAARGTACTAGTTTCGCCGTTACCACAAAGAAAGCGTAAAMGGGAGATATTTTATGCTGTGCAAGTGAAAGGATTAAAACTACCATTAATGCTTTGCTGCACAAAATGGTGTCGCTGCACATTGCCTATTCATAAACTTTACACAGAAATGTTTTAGCATCATTGGCTGGCCTTGATATGTAGTTRTGTAACAATYATTACCTTATAACAGGACCAGTACTGCCTCTGAAAGAATGCAAGCGTTCCTGTGGACTTGTTGTCGAGCAGCCTAAGAAGCATAAAATATTAAATGATATSCCAATAATCATAAATTTTATAGAAAATTATATTTTAACTTACTGTTTTGGATATAGAGGGACGTACACATCGTCATTCACAGACTTTTGCAGTCTGGTTACGATTATTGTGAAGAGTTTCTGTGAGGAGAAAATAACATTGCAGTCCATTATTAACTGTCACATAATTGAGAAACAACTGAAAACTAGGGAATTACACTTAAAGGCCCAGTTTGCACCATATTATGCTTTGCGCGCCTCTGTTGTTGTTATGATTTAGACCAAAATACGAGCCAGGTAGCACCGCTCGGAACGGGTCTCATGATAGGTTGAGAAAACAATGGACAAACAATAGATAAGTCTTYSAACAATATAACAAAACCTAACCTAACAATAGTGGTGCTGTACTTAAGGAGCAATCAAAAAGCAGGTTTCAATTGGTACTGCATTACTGCAAAATACTTCTAGCATCCAAATATCACCATAAAACGAATTTCAAAAATGGTTCAAAACTCTTATATTAGCGTTTAAAGTGCTTAGAAAAGTGAGATGGTCAAAGATTCGAAACACAAAGTACAATTTATAGACTTTTGGAAAAACTGAAAAAAGCATAATAGTACACACTGGGCCTTTAATTGGGAAACATCTCCAACAATGCTACTATAAAACATAATAAAGACTTTATTCAACGAGGCTAAAACAATACTAATAAACTTGTGGCCCTCCTAAACTAATACTAAAACTACAATATGTAAAATATAACTATTTAAAAACACCATAATTTCACTTTTGTAAAAACACTGCTGAATCTAAGATGCTAACATCAAATCACATTCTTTTGTTGGAGGTCCCAATTTTTGAGGCAAACATCTCTTTTCAAATTTGATCCATTTTCAGTAATACAGCACCAATCAAAACCTGCCTTTGATTGCTGCTTAAGTACAGCAGCCCCAGCTCTATTGTTAGGTTTTGTTTTATTGTTAGAAGACTTATCTATTGTTTGTCCATTGTTTTCTCAACCTATCATGAGATACATTCCGATCAGTGCTGACTGGCCCTGAATTTTAGCTGATACTCATCCCAATCCAGATCTCTAATCCCAAATTCACTAATACGCTGATTCCTTATCCTGATATAATTATGTTACAGCCCTGTACTTTCTTCCAATACTTACTCTAGTTGTTTTGTTTTCTGCCTGTACTGTCGGGTAGTCCTCAGCCATGGACTGGACCAACTGAACTAGTTGCTTAGTTTGTTTTGATGATAGTGGATCCCAAACATTTTGAACAATTTCTGACAAAATAATAAAAAAATGAAAAAAAAAACACAAAAATATTGTTAAAAAATAAACAATGCAAAAAAAAGAAAATTTTTCAAATAAATGTTATCTAAACTAAACAAGAATACATGTACCTATTAGCTTGGGAATCACTGCCTTTTCTATCAGTGAAGGAATGATTTTGACATCATCATCCTTTAAGTCAATGTCTTCACTGTTTTGGAAACCAAACCCAACAAGATTCTTGTACCATGACATTTCTTCTAAGCTTTGAGAATCAGCCTGATATTGTACAATGAACCAATTAAATTGATAGGAATTAAAACACAAACATTGTAAAACACTGTAATGTGTAATTATCCTTTTAAAAAAACATATTACTCTAATAGCTTACTTACACTGGGATGAAATACTCATAGATTTTCAAACTTTTAAATCTTGCATATTATTTGACATAATCTTTTTAACAAGTAATCTTTTTTAACATTTGTACCTGTATAAGATTATTTCTTTACAGTCAGATGGTCTTTTAAGGCATTATTATATTGATCATACATGTATCTTCTCTGTAAGATACTCACACTTAAAGGATTCCAGGCAATCAGTTCTATACGTGCAAACAAGGTGAAAAGCTTTGGGAGGCATAGTGAGATGTATGCATTCTTATAAGTATCTTCACATTGCTGTTTCCACATCTCAAACCTCAGCTTGACGGCATTGATGGAGCTAAAGTTCTCTACTACATCCTCAAAGATAGTCCTAGACTGTCCTATGATTCGATCTGATTGATAATAATGATATTAACAATTGATCACAGTTCAACATGAGTTGGGAGTCATATGAAATGTWATTTTAACAGGKTAATCAACRAGTTGTACCTGATTCTGACTTAAACTGTCTTGAATYTATCTCTGTTTCTTCGTCATCAGAAGACAGTCCCTCRTGGTGWGTRTTATGAGTACCATCCAGTTCTCTCTTTCTTCGCCGTCTCATTTTTCTTCCCTCTCTGTCAGCCGCTCTCCTTTGCTTACACTCCTCAACGTATAGTGTCATATCACGACCAAATTCATCTATTATTGGCTTGCTGTTTTGTTTTTGTTTCCCTGGAAGTATAATTATTATAACTCAAGTCAGTGATATTGTTTGTGTGATTAGTGTAGCATGATGACACAAATATTTCAATGAAAAGAAAGAAAATAGAATAAGGGGTTAGAAAAAAATGAAGACATCAGGAAGGTATTTTTCATTGTTTGTTTGCTGTTTATCTTTTCTTTAATTATCTTATGCTTGGTCTTATGCTTATGTCTATGCTTATGTCAATGTCTTATGTTGCATACTTGACTTTCTTTTGCTGACTCTTTTCCTTTTGTTTGTTTTTTTTTCTTTTTTTGTTTCTTTTCGAAAAAGTGAAGCTTTCATCGATGTGTCACATCAACCAGGCTTTACATGTACAATGCATTTTCAAAACAAATAAGCTGAATTCACAAAAGAGGATGCACCCCATCCCCCTCCCCCACCACACCCTAATTCCACAGCGATGTCTCAGTTTCAATAACCTAATTATATTAAATTCTTACCTGTTTGTAAAGCAAGAAACTCATCAGACTGATCTTTGACATCTTCTTGTCTTCTTTCAACTAATCTTTGAGCTCTTTGCTTGAGTAATTCATGCATTGACTTCTCTATTGAATCAATTAAAGGTGCCTGGAGAGAAAAATAAAATAGATTAATAAAGGAGACTCACTAATATTGCTACATATAACTTCTGCAGTTTCAGCTGTCTAAAACAAATTAAAAATTAAACTATACTAATCTGGTGAAAAAAACAAAAATATTTTCACATACAAACTGTGATTTATAAAATGGTTACTACCACACGTTGCASATGTATAATTCCCATTTTGCACTATCCATTAAAACAATTTGCTTGTATCCTTTAAGCTACATCCATAGAATACAACAAATACTAGAAGTTCCATGTATATGTTTTTACAAATATGTTTGAGTGAATTTTGTGGAAAAAAAAAATAACCAAAAATACAAAAGAAAGCTATTGTTTCCACATTTCAATAAAATTATTTGCAAAGAAAAATTCAAAGAAGTTTCAATTCAGAACAAGCCTGTTTAAATGCTGTAGAACCAGTCATCATGTGTGAGGTTGTATTTAGTTTTTCTATTTTAGTTTGAAAACATATTACATGTAGGTATGGATGGAGAGGTTAATATATTGAAAATGTACAATCCCATGTGACGAGTACATCTTCTCTTGCGGTCAATTTTGATACAACAACGTGTCATTCAGGACACGCAATGGTATCACAACCTAGGGTGCGCCAGTGGAGGACACGCCCATCTCCACTACCGACACCCTTGCTTGTATCACCCACCTTTTCATTAAGGCATTCTATCAAGTCCCGAACATACCCCCTCATCTCTTGATAAAAACTGTATTGCCTCTCGGCATCTTTTCCATGCTGGGACAGCTTTATTATGCTTTCTTCAGATACTGTGCTATGGKATAGTATCTTATCTTTCTCTAGCATACGACCACGATGCGTGTCCTGCAACTGGCCTAGTCGTCCCTTTAATCTAGCTAAAATAGAGTCCATRGTAGGTTTTTCTGTGGTGGAACCCCTAATTAGTCGTCCTTTTGGAGTTGTAGTAATTTCAGAGGTTGGTGTTRCTGATTCTAAGTTGTAACCTCCGCCATAAGGATAAATGTTGTAAGCTTGATATGTTGCATCAAGACCAAAAGCTTGCTGTTCTTTTTCTTGTTGGATTTGAGAKGCTGAAACTCCCTTGCGAATTTGCTCATCTTCCCATCTTTTYGTTTCCTCATCTTCTTCTTCCTCTTCCTCGTTTTCACTTTCTCCTCCAGCGATAATTGGCTGKTCATTTTTCACAGCTGCAAAACTAATTGGCCCCTCGTCATCACTGGCATCATTTTCATCTTCTCGRACAAGTCTTGATTTACTGTCAAATCTACCTTCATAYCKCTGGCTGTCGTCAAGGGGAATGAAATCCTGCCCAGTCCCTAGCTGCCTCGCCATTTCTCGCTTCTTTTTAAGAGCGTGAATAGTCGCTGCATCAGGAATATTAAACTCATTACGRTGTGAAAATACCACTGGTTTGTCGTCTGTTTCTAAATCATTATCCTCGTCATCTTCCTCGTCGTCTAGTTTAGACATTTCGCGAAGTTCTGCTCGTAAAGCTTCAAGTTTTCCAGCATCGAYRCCATTATCCTTTGCTGAGCCTTCTTGCGGTATATCATCGTTTTCTATTTCTTCTTTTATCTGAGTCCGTGGTTTATTCTTTTTAGACTTATCTTTTGATATCTTTTTGCTCAATCTTCGACTTTCTTTTGATTTTTTAACTTGGAAAACTTCAGTACCTTCGTCATTCTCATCGTGGTCAAAGCTCAGAAGTGAATTWGTTGAAAACGTTTTCTCTATCTTTGTCGAACTTTTTACTTTCTCCTCCTTGACAGCAGTGTTAATRACGTTATTATCTGTAGATTGGTTCTCATTTCCATCTTCCTGTTCCTCGTCTGCATTGAAATTTTTCTTTCTAAATTTCCGACTCCCTGATTTACGGAACATGGTCGCCATGTTCTCCTGTACACGCAATGCATCATGGGTAATCTAGTTATCAGTTTCTCTCGGTCACAGCTAATAACGCCTGTCGAAAATCAATATAACTATGTTATTTTAAAGACGTTCAAATTCTGTTAGAAAAATGTCATATTACGGAGATGGGAGAGGGTATAGGCCGGCTAGAATTAACTATTTGCCTAATATTGATTCTAATCTGCTTGCTACGGTACGCGATGAGATGGTRAAAAAGGAAGAGGAGAAGAAAGAACAACAAAGAAGGAAGGAGGCCGAGAATCGAAAAGTGGCTGGCTACTTGACACAACTACAGGCGATGGTCAGGGAACTACCAGGGTACGATAATTGCATCACTTATCGTTYTTTTATTCATCTTGTACTTTGAATTTTTATGAAAGTTTAAGTCAAGACATAAATCATTTTTTTAGGAACATGAAAAGCAAKCTTACCTTYGATGTTTTAAATACAATAGCCACGTCTTTGTTAGACGGTACAGTTTTTGAGATTGTCAAAGGGTTAGAAGATATTCAACAACTGACTGAGAGGAATTTACTGAACAGAAGAATGAAAGTCATTAATTCGCATAAAGGTAGTGTATTGGGATGTTACATCGATCAGTGGCAGATCCAGGATTCTTCAAAGGGGGGTTCCACTTTGTTTTCGCATTTTCCTAAAGCGAACTTTATTACGGTGCCTCTCGAACTGTAGCAAATGTAGCGTAAATGTATTTAATGAAAATTCATTGTACGATACGTATTCATTTTATTTCATTGATCATTTATTTTATTTATGCTTGAGGGGGGTTCCTAGGAACCCATGGAACCCCCCCTGGATCCGCCACTATCGATCAATGGTATTCAATAGAATGATGGCACCCTTATTGTGAAGTCTGGAACAGGGATCAATGTCCATGAGCGACGATTTGTAATGCTTGTTTTTGTAGCCCAGAAAATGGAAATGAGTAAAAGGCACAGTAAAAATATTGAAGATTGTCAGCAAAGACCTCACAACCTTCCAGTTGTTGAGAGGGATAATCTAGAAGAACAACAGGTATATGTATCTATAGAAGGCAATATGAACTACATTAATATTGGCTTTGCTTACTCTCTTATAAGTACTTTTATAAGATTAAAATGATATTTATTCAATCAAGTTGCATCCACTAGGGTCAGTTTTCTCCCTTCCTTTCTCACTCCCTCTCTGCTGTCTTCCCATCTTTCTATCCTCCCTTTGTTTCTCCCTCCCTTCCAACTTGCTCTTCCTTTTTCCCTCGCTCTCCTTCTTCCTTCCTACCTTTTTTCCTTTTCTCTTTCCTACATCCTTCCATAATACCTTTTTGATTAGCACAAATAGTTTCCTAGAGATCTCAAGCCTMAATAGATAAAATTCCTCATTGCACCCCATTCATTTTTTWCTTTCAAATTCTCTAGAAATTAGAAGCAAAACTTGAAAACGAAATGCTACAGCTTGACCAAAARGTGGTTCTGGAACTGGATCAAATTGTYAGTGACCAACAAGCCACACTTGAGGTATCAAGTATGATCCTTTGGGTTACCTGTGTTTTCCATAATCTACTTTGGTTTCCTTTTTTTTTAAATTTGTCTTATTTTGAAATGTTTTAATTTACTTGTTTGTTTCTTCTTATAGAGAGCTGGTGTTCCTCTCTTCTTCATCACCAATAACTCAGATGATGTTCGAGTTCAAATGAATATTTTAGATTTCATTCAAAGGCTAATGCCAACAAGTTGACAGATATTTCCTAATTTACTAGTTACTATATAATGCAAATTTATAAAAGATCTTAATGAAAATGATTTAAATAGTATCTTTCGGTTGATCGCATAGTGTATCACTGTATGCAATGCAGTCAAGTCTCACCCCATGTAAGAGAATCCTGAATCCATAATGCAATGTTTCAAAATCCAGAATTTAGCACTCAGGAATCCTCTAGTTCTCTGGATTCTCTTACATAGGGCGACTAACTAGTCTTGTATAAGAGATACGTTTGGGAGCATATTTAAGCATCTGCAAGAAGGAAAACTTTTATTTGAATAGGGTATCATTAAAGGCCCAGTGTGCACCATTAAGCTTTGGGGGTGCGATGTCAGTATACTGAAAGTCTATACTGAACTGTACTGTGCTTTTCGAATACGCTCTTATCTTGACCATCTCACTTTTCCAAGCACTTTCAACGCCAATATTAGAGTTTTCAACCATCGGACATTCCTTTTATGGTGATATTTGGATACTAGAAGTATTTTTTATCTAAAATCTTAACAATAACAGGCGCACAAAGCATAGTGGTGCAAACTTTGCCTTTAACTACCTGTTTTTAGTTTAGTTAGTTAGGCGGATGACTCCGAGATTTGACAATGGCACTCCAAACGACCCTGTCTTCCATCAACGTAGCCAGCTCGTGTGAGCTGATTGCYCCYGTGTCGCGCTTGAGGGWRTCTACATAATTCGATTGAGGTCTTCCTCTGGACCGCGTTCCGTGAGTTGCCTTCCCACAGGATCAATACTACCTGTAATGGGCTAAATTTTGCTATATTTGTACTCTGGAACTCACAAAGCAAAAAAGAAAGAAAAGAAAAAAAAACAGAAAAATGGGGAAATCTTAATGCATTGTTAAATCTTTTATTAGATTTATCGCTTTTATTTCATAATCCAGTACTCTCTACTGGGCAATGCTTCTCTCACACATGACTGGAAATTTTGAGGTGCAGTACATGTCGTTCCATTGCCCAAAGACATTCGCTTGGTTGATGTWCATCATTCCACATTCTTCTTTGACGTTATTGGGCTCATTTTGCTTCCATTTAGAAAACAGGCCAGACAGGGAAGATCCATCAATCCACTTAAACTTTGTGGTGGAATCTTTTTTTTTAAGAAAACGTGTATATTTCAAAGATATGATAAATGTATTAGAGCTAATGCAGGAAAATCATGAAATAAAATCAAACTAAATACTAACAAATAACGGCTATTTACAGACAAATTGTCAGTATGAATGAGCCAGAACACAATAAAGATGATTGAAAATGATCCCATCATTGTGTTCTGGTTCATTGATACTGACAATTTGTCTGTAAATAGCCGTTATTTGTTAGTATTTAGTTTGATTTTATTTCATGGTTTTCCAGCTGTGTTTGCTCTATTCACGGGTGACGCAATGATAAACCAATACTTTAATTACCTCTGTGGAGTCCAATCCATACGTATGCCTGGGCCTGGGCCAGATTAGCAACATAGCTGTTTTTTTGTGGGGATTTGATGGTTACCATGTCTCCTCCAATGGCTATGCATGCTTTGCGGGCGTCGTTCCAGGTGTRAGTTGTGGTGATTAACTTAAAGCATGAGTGTTTGTCAGGAATCCATCCCTTTGGGCAAGCATTGCCATGACCAGRATTTCCGTTTTCTAAAAATAAAAGTTTATCTTTTTTTGTTTCTTTTTATTTCTTTTTATTTTTTYAATAAATAATTTTATTTAAAGACGCACTTGCTTTCAAAAACCTTTGCAACCCTTTATTTTGTTATTGTTTTTTTTTTTTTTTTTTAGAGATCCGTCAGAGTCATTTTTATCCGTCTGTGAAATAGGAATTGTACTATTAAATACTATTAGCTCCAATTAGTTAAACTTATGAGATGCGACAAACAAATTATGCAAAAACGGTCTTAATTTTGCCATTTGGTGGCCTACTAAACCCTAATAGGTACTATTAAACACTGACTAGTAGTAATTGTTTCACATACGGATTAAAATTAATGACTATTCAGGAGGAGCCGACGGGGTCTGTTCTTCTAAATAGCTGTTCTTGCAAATGTGGCGCCCATCCGTATTTACAATAATTTTGTTAATGGCAAACATTTTTAGGTCAAAAAGCTAGCTTATATAACATTTTTATGGTCAAAAACGGAGTACATTTTTTTTAGTTACTAGGAAATTTTTATTTTCCTGGCAAAATTCTTCGAAAGTAATCCTTGCCTGGAGAGCTCCTTTTTCCTAAATTTCTCGCTGGCAACTAGTTGTGACTTAAGCTAGCTGGCTGGGACATAAGAACAGGTATATTTCTTCCAGRAACCCGTCGGCTCCTCCTAACTATTGATTACTAGTTGTTTTCTGTAATTCAAAAGTAAGAAAAATGAGGATGGCAATTTTTCGTTTGTGATTTTTCGTCTATTTGACCGTCAAAGTGTTTCAATACTTTTCACTGTAATAATCCGCAGATAAACGGAGCTTTTTCGGACCATTTCTCTCCTTGCTACTGTAATACCCGCGGATGTCCCCTCAGTTTTATGATAATGAATAACTCATGGTCAAGTTTGCGTCTTTGTACCTGCCGAGCAGTTACTTGCAATCTCCATCAACTTATCGATTTTTTTCTCGAGCTGATCCATCCTCGCCAACAGCTTTGGGTGATCGCAGTTTGGATGATAGATACAGCAGGATTGACCATAGTTAGTCAAAGCAAAGACGACCAAAACAAAGGCAATGAGTTTAACCATKTTGGGAAGTCAGGAGTCAAAGAATTAAACAAGCGCTATACATACAATAGCCAAAAGAATGACTCTATAACTACCAAGAAATATAGTTTTATGCATAAAAGACATGTYTTTACAAGAAAAAACGTTTTTATGGCCAAGTATCATCAATCGAAAGTAAACAATTTTAAGGATTTTAACATTTTTTTTCTAATAAACTGAAGCAAAAATTACTAAAAGCGCAAAGAAATATATTAAACATTGTTTTCAAGTTTTCTTTTCTGACATGTTTCTGATTCTTTTCAATACTATTAATACGTGTTTTTACACGTTTTTGGTTTCAAAAGATTGAAGAAACTGTTTGTYCGTCACCATAGTTACTAGAGGGATATGCGTAAAACTGTTATAATTTCCGAACAAATACAAATTTCAGCTGCCACTTGAAGATTCATCTCTCGATTATGTCGTATTATATTTCCTTAATATTTATTGTAAAATCTCTAAAGTACATGCACGCAAACCCATTTTCGTTTCTAGCAGAGCAATTTTACTAACAACTTAAAYAGTGTCCCTTTAATTCAGTTCTCAAAATAGATTAAATTCATCAATATATTTGTTTTCTTAATCKAACAGTCATAACAAAGATCATTTAAGGAACTTCCACAGTCAAGCGGCGCTTATAATTTAGTTTCCYAAATTAGTTTTTGGACAATCATGAACCATAATTGCACGAAAACAACTATCTTTATTCATAAATTTTAATCATTATYATTATTTTAACTCCATGCTATTGGCTGTTGGCAAAATTGAGTCTACTTCGGACTGTTGACGTTATATTACTCAATGTGATAGTAACGATATATTATTACCATACACCTGCAAGCATACTTGGCAACAAAGTCTCAAACAGTGCCCTTTTACATCTACCACTCTAGAAAGATCTAATATGTTGTTTTTCATCAGATACAATTTAGTGAGTAGTTTTTCTATCTGGAAAATTAACAGAGATTTTCATCCAGAGAAATTGATCCGATAAATAGCACTTTAACAGAAGCATTCCCGTCAAGAAACAGATCGAGATGAAAAGAGAAGATAGCTGAAGTGAAATATGGAAATTCGAGTATTGTTTTTTCTTGTATTAGTCGATAAAATATCGAAAGCTGGTATGTATCACTATATAAGTATTACTTAAAATTCATGTCACATCTGTAAATGTTTCAGTCCTCGGATTAGATGCGGTATACTTTGAATGTATTTTATAATCGGTAAATTTCATTTTCAGCCCTAAAACTGATGGAGTATAAATAGAATGAGACCGCGAACAGTAGCAATGCACAACRCTTCACAATAAGACKTTTTCAATACAAAGAATATAGGTGCTTAGCTGTTTTACGCAATTAATACTTTTGAAAGTTACGAAATTGAAACTTGAAAATTTACGGATTTGAAACTTCAACATGACAGAATTTCGAAACCTTTGCCATGATCTTTATTGGAAATTCAAAGATGAAGGAAATGATTTTTTCCCTTCTTGTTAACACTAAGATTATGAATGGAATTGTTTATAGCCTTATAAGTTTTCATTATCATAACTTTCTAGAACTCTGTTAGTGAGACCACGTGAGCTGGACTTAGTAATCAACGAGCTCATGAATTACTATTTAGATTCAAAACTGAGATCATGAGATTTTTCTTTACAGTTGAAGAAGTGAAACAAGCCATAAGTATCCGAAAACAAGTCTAGAAAAAAAGGCAAACTAATCATGAATAGAGCGGGAATAGACCATTTTACAAATTGTTTACATAACTAACAATCTTAGGGGATGCAGATTCCCCAACGGTGATTTTTAATTATGCCAAAGAAATTGTTATAACTGGATAGAGTATCCGAGCAGACAAATGTTTCTTTTTTTTATGTTGGACGACTTTGTGACCTCCGTAAGACACAAGCATTCAATGTGTGCAAACACATGGCCAGAAATCCCCTGATATATAACGAACAAAGCAATCGCCGCCATGTTGGATGAATGAACAAGAGAAACTAATGAAGAATGTTTTGTGGATCTTGATCCAACATGGCGGTGATGACATAACTTGAAAGACAAGAATTCGTTCATAGTGATCTAGAAAATAAAGAAAGTATAAGCTAAAACAAGAGGCCGTTATGCATGAGCATGCGTGCAACCGCTGCGTTATAACGACCATGGGCTCTAGAATACGGGTAGAATAACATTGTAGTAGCTGCGGAAGCTTCGAATTCTGAACATAATTGATGTTTTTACTTATCTTCCACATTTTTCCAAACAAAACCAAGTAGATATATTTACAATGCACACGAATATCTTTCAAACTTTATATAAATTACTGTGAGTCTCGGGCTAGATTTGTAACACGAAGCCACTTTGTACCGTTAAAATGTAGTGAATTATTTGTGCACACCTTTAGCAATAATAAATTCCTAAGATGAGAATCGATTGCACTGCAATAGTTTATTTCATAACTTATAATGATACAGCTATAGAACTACACATAGATATTTATGATAACTTGATTCAAACAAGCTCAACTCTTCAGCCAAAAGAATGCTAAATCTGTCGTAAGTGCTCAACAGCACGTAAGAATTTGCAGAATTAACACCGTTCCACATTTTTCATAGACAAGAAAACATTATCAAACCATTTGCAAAGCATAAGTCTTGATATTGGTAGCCTTATTCTAATGAGTCCTGGTGGTATATAAAAGGAAAGTAGTATTTCATGTAACAGTTAATAATATTTAAGCGTAAATATTGTACACTTCAAGAAACTGTCTTTCGAACATTTCGAGGTCGATGTTACTAAATGATGCCTAATTATATTACTACATGTGTACATTTACCATTTACTTCATGACCTGCGATGAATCTTGACCAGCACTCAGCAAAAACTGGAATAGTAGTTGCGTATATAAACCACTGCAGCCTCCATATTGTAAACACAAAGTCATTAATATCAACATTTCTTAAATAAGATTTTAAACGGTCCCAATCAGTCCAATAACGCCAGTGTTTTTCCTCGTTGTAGGTTACACTATTTATGAGTGTTCTTGAGTCATGACAGAACATTTCAGGGTCAAAAACAGCCAAAACAATTTTTGGAAATTGTCCTTCGTGTCGTTGTAATTTCTCGCTTGAAGTGAATCACTAATGAATTTCAATGAATTWTCAACARACTGGCGCATGCGCACGCCAAACGGCCCCTTGTTATAAGCTAATGCCTTCATTCCGAAATGTCTATATCCGCAAATTGTCATAATTGTTGGTTGTTTCCACCGTACTCGGCAATGTTTTATCGTTGTGGTAATGCTGGAAAACACTTTGAAAGTTAAAATGCGTGTCAATGAAGGATTTAAGCGTATGCAAAAAAGGTCATACAAATGCAAAAATATTTCGGCATCGTTTTGTTAGAAGAAGTCATGAACTGAGTTGGCTTGACGGGTTTTTTAATGATATTACGGGCGCGCAATCGATTTTGTAGCGTTGCATGTACTCAGTCCTGGTGGAATCGGAAAGCTTCAAAAACGTATCGACATTGAAGAGGTCTTGATAGCATATTATGTACTTCTAGCTCCATATTCTCTCAAAATCTACACTTGCAAAGGCACCACACGAAGGCGAGAGTTGTCGCATCGGTTAGGCCATGTACAAAAATCCTGCTGAATTCCCAAGCAAAACATTAACTTAACATTTAGTTCAACAAAACTTTGTATTTATTTCTTTTAGATGCATCCTGTAAAACAATGAAATTCAACAAAGACTTTCCTGGAAAATCTTTGAAGAATTTTGTATTTAAGAGAATTCAAGCGAAAGAGAGTTTTTGCACAAATCTTTGTTACATGCATGACGGATGCCTGTCAGYCAATTACGYCACTGAGGAGCAAACCTGTGAGCTGAGTGAATCAGATCATAGGATCAATCCAGAATACTGGGAAGACACGCCAGGATATGTTTATTACTCTGCAGAGGTACCATCGGACTTGATTCTTTGGTTTATAATAGTTTCTGAGGTGATAGTCTCCTTAAATTACGGTTTCCTACGCCGCCATCTTGAAAAGTARCCATTCCTTTGCATCAATTCGAGACGACCTTTAAGCGTGCAATGATAGATCCCTCTGAATAATTGTATGTAGGTGTGAAAGAGGTTTTCACGCTCAACGATAGTCTCCTTAGATGCAAAGGCACGGCTACCTTTCAAGATGGCGCAGCCGGCGGAGAACCGTGAAGGAGGCAATAGCAGTATATTAATTTCTAATGTTAAAGTTTCACCATTGTTTTGTCCTCATAGAACACATGCAAGTGCCCCAAACACAAGATATGCCGTCATAATTTTATTCTGAACACATTCAAATGTGAATGTAACTCAAAATATCCAGGAGCTAACTGCACAATAAGTAAGTGGACGGAGTAAGCTAAAAAGCGGCTTCTAAGAAACATATACCTTTAATAACCAAAATCCTTGTGTCATAGCTCCGTCTCCATCGTCAACGGACACTGCCTCTTCATKGGCTTCTTTCTCATCGTTGGTGTCTTCATCGCCTTCTCTTTCCTCCGTSTCATCAGTTCCATCCTCATTGTTATCCGACACTTCTTCTCCATCTTTGTYGTTACCGGCATCTCCGTCTTCATCCGTTTCCTTGTCGTCAGTGGTATCTGCATCGAATTCTTTATCCTCGGTATTTTCGTCTTCAATGCAAACTCCAACTTTGACATATGAATTCCTGTCGCCGTCGACAAGTGTGTCGTCTCTTTCTCTGTCCCCATCTCCTTCATCCATGGTATCTTCATCCGAATACCCATCTTCTGCGCCAGAATCTCCATCCTTAAGCACAAGTGTACTGTCATCTATATCTCCYTCACTATCGTCATTGTCATGTGCGTCTGCTTCTTTATCGCACTCTTCAGGTAAAGGTATGAATAATAAGCGAGATCCATCGTTGCCAAAAAAAACCTTGGACCAAGAATTATTTGTCTCCCGCCAAACATTGTTCTCCTTTCCTTTTTTCACATTTCCCCCCTTAGCTACCTTACGTCAATGTTGGGTCTTGTTTTGGATGCTTGTGTACTATGGTAACATGTTAAATGACAACATTGCAATTAGATCTGCGGGTGTTGCTTAAAATGAGGAAATTTGCTGGCATGGTCCAAGGATTTTCTCAACGATTGTAGATAGATTGGTTGAATTGCGGTAGCTTTCACACTAAACATTTACAAAAGTAGCTATAATAACATTAAAGCGCTATGGATTTCTCGAATTTTTTTAATGTYGTCTAAAGATTTAGTTGCCACTGCGTCGATGCGATAGTAAAGAGAGGACGGTCTGGATTACTGAAGTCTAGGAAATCGTAGTAGCATGATGAAGCAGAATTGATTATTCGCATGGCTCGTCTCGAACTTAACCGAATATTAATTGCGATTTTGCAAGGATAGATGCCATCAAGCACAAGGTTCAGTCTCGCTTTATGATCATGAAAGGAAATATATTTTTTATATAGCGCAGGAAACTGTACAAAAAACTATATTTTCGAATATCAGAATGTTATCGTACGTAGACTTCATTGTTTAAATACTAAGTTTTGCTTCTTCTACGTACTAAGTTTTGTTGTAATTTTATTTCCAAAATAACGTTCTGGTTTGTATATAAATAAAAGATTCACTTATTGTGTTACTATTTCTAACCCAGGCTGCCAATTAAACTATCCAAGGGCTTCACAAGACGATTACATTGAAGCATTCCCGAATTTTCCTCAGGATTTAGAGGAAATAACTTTGTCGTTCTGGCTTAAAGTTCCCTCTTCGTTCTCTAATACCCTGGGGATATTTTCCTATCAAAGTGGAGTATATTACATGTCAGTCTTAATGCAAGACACTTCCCAAGTTGAATTCACACTCAACGGAGGCCAAAAGTAAGTAGTTAACGATTGGTGAACCATGTTGCGGAGGGGGAGGAATTGGGTTCTTTCCTATTTTTGTTTCAGATTTTACAAATGTATTTCTCGCGTCTTCATCCTATAGCATAYACAAGCAAATTTTAGCTCAAAAGCTTTTAACAGTTTTTTTTGTTCCACATTACTTTTGTTGTTTAATCGTGTAGTCAGCCTTCATTATTTGTAGCACATTTCTTTTTTGTCCAGTTTGAAGAGCTAAAAAGAATCAAGAGGAGAAATGAAGCTATAATTGTCTGGAGTTTAATCAATCGGAGATTGTATTGAATAAACAAACGGGTTTATGGACGGCTGTCAATATTAGAGCATCTTACGAAATCGTCATCAAGACGTTTAGCTATCCTTTTCAGTAAAATGTATTAAACTAATCAAAATGTTCAGCCTTCTTAATTGTAAAATATTCACTTAATTTCTTTATTTTGAACATTTCAGAATTCTCAAGTCAGATTTTGTGAGAGACGACACTTGGCAGCATATAGCGATCACATTGAAAGACAACGGGCATTTGAAATTGTATACAAATGGTAAAAAAACAGCGGATGAAAATAATATGAGTGCAGGCTATATCAAGAAGAACAATGATGGAAAAATCCGATTGGGTAAAATTGATGKCAAAACAGACTTCATCCAGGGAAGCATCGCGGAACTTTATATATGGAAAGTAGATTTATCTGGGGCTGACGTGGAAACTGTTTTTGACTTTAAATGTGGACCTATAGGGAAATTTAAGGAAAAAGAGCTAATTTCAAGTTGGGATGCGATCGTWAACTCCGCTTGTTACCATGGAGAGGTAAACAAAAGCTGCCCAACAACATGCCCTGGTTTTACTGGAGGTAAGCAAACTAAGTTAGGCACAAAGGCAACGAGCATACATAAATACTATCCCCAATCATGCCCCAGTTAAACCTATAGAGGTCTTATCACACATCTCTATTTGCTGTAACTCAATTGCAATAGGCCTTTTGCATGAAACGGTCACATGGTACAAAATCCGCCATACTGGATGGCAAAATACCCACTGGGATTTTCAAAACAAAGAAAAGTCAAGCTTGACGGGCTGCGTTCCTTTTGTTTTTGAGGTTGTTTGCCATCCAGTATGGCGGATTTTGTACCATGTGACCGTTTCATGCAAAAGGCCTATTATGAAGACTTGATACTAGTAACTGAAGGTAAATAATCAATAAAACTGTTTCTACCCTAGTCTGCCAACTGGACTATCCAAGTGGTTCACAAGATGACTACGTCGAAGCATTACCAAATTTTTCTCAAGACTTTGAAGAGTTGACCTTATCATTTTGGCTTAAAGTTCCCTCATCGTACACGAATAATTTGGCTATCGTCTCGTATAGAACTCAAGATGAGAGCAGCGATATGTCAGTGGTGATTAAAGATACTTCGGAGGTTGAATTCAAAATAAACGGAGGTGGGAAGTACGTATTGTACTAAGTAGACGTCCTTGGAGATATAAGCTCCTATCACAAGAAGACAGCATATACATACAACGTACTATAACAGGAGAAAATGATTTCGCTAAGTCTCTCTCTTAAGTTAGTCACTTAATTTATACAAAAATGTTTTTGAAAAAAATATGTTAATTGATTCTYAATTAAATTCATTATTTCAGAACTCTTAAGTCAAATTTTGTACGGGACAATACCTGGCAGAATATAGCGATCACACTGAAAGATGACGGAAAGGTKAAAATGTATAGAAATGGCCAGRAAATATCKRAAGRWASTGGAATGAAACAARGAAWKATTAAAAAAGACGCTCAAGGTAAACTCCARTTGGGTAAAAAATATGACGGAGCCGACCCTACATTCGTTATTCAAGGAAGCCTCGCAGAACTATATATGTGGGATAAAGATTTATCTGGTGATGACGTCACCAGTATCTTTGGATTTAAATGTGGCTCTATGGGTGACTTTAAGTCAAACGATCTTATTTTAAGTTGGCGTACGATCATAAAGCCTAATTGTTTGAAGGGGAAGGTGAATAAAACTTGCCCAGCAACATGCCCAGGACCTAGTCAAGGTAAGCAAGCAACTTAAACGCAAAGRCAAAGAGCGTAGAACCTTCACTAACCCCATTCCCAACCTCACGTCACGCATGAAGCAATTGAGGTCGAACCATCCATCACCAATTGCTTTTAGAAGTGAAAAAATATATATACAGCAATTATCATGATTTGGTCATTGTAAGGTAAAATTGTCAGCAAGACGTGTATGCGAGAAGTGCGCCATAAGCTTTTACTGCATCGGTTCCCCGTAAGGTGGCTTCCATATTGTTGTCTTGCTTTGATGAAACTATGTAACGTGGATTAAGTAGACTAGTACAAACTCTTCGTCTAGTTTTAAGGCAATTGATATCTCTTAACTTATTGCATGTAACTGTTTCTACTCTAGTTTGCCAACTGGACTATCCAAGAGGTTCACAAGATGACTACGTCGAAGCATTCCCAAATTTTTCTCGAGACTTTGAAGAGTTGAGCTTATCATTTTGGCTTAAAGTTCCCTCATCGTACACGAATAATTTGGCTATTGTCTCATATAGAACTCAAGATGAGAGCAGCGATATGTCAGTGGTGATGAAAGATACTTCGGAGGTTGAATTCAAAATAAACGGAGGTGGGAAGTAAGTATTGTACTAAGTAGACGTCCTTGGAGATATAAGCTCCTATGGCAACAGCATATACATACAACGTAGTGCACGAAAAATGTTTCTCTCTTAAGTTACAGTAGTCCCCTAATCGCCTAATGCAAACAGGTCTTTGAAAAAAAATATGTCAATTRTTTCTCAAATTCATTATTTCAGAACTCTTAGCTCAAGTTTCGTACGGGACAATACCTGGCAGAATATAGCGATCACACTGAAAGATGACGGAAAGGTGAAAATGTATAGAAATGGCCAGRAAATATCTGAAGGTACTGGAATGAAACAAGGAAATATTAAAAAAGACGCTCAAGGTAAACTCCAGTTGGGTAAAAAATATGACGGAGCAGACCCTACGTTCGTTATCCAAGGAAGCCTCGCAGAACTATATATGTGGGATAAAGATTTATCTGGTGGTGACGTCACCAGTATCTTTGGATTTAAATGTGGCTCTATGGGTGACTTTAATTCAAACGAACTTATTTTGAGTTGGGGTACGATCTTACAGTCCCAAGGTTTAAAGGGGCAAGTGAAGAAAACGTGCCCAACAACATGCTCAGGATAAAACACCATAATCCATCCCATATCCCCACCATACGACTGTAGTATAGCTAATTTTTCAGTTCACAATATATAGATATAACAATGATATTTGTGAATTTAAATCAATCAATTTGGCTTACAGGATTTATTGGTATTTTGCAATATGATCTCACTTTATGAATTTAGGTCACGTGAATTAGTCACRTGAATGACCAAAACATTCACATCAGCCTTATAACGACAAGGATGGAAAGCAATTAAGTGAATTGGATCTACTAAATTTCAATTGCTTCCCAACATTTATTTGCACTGAAGAAGATCTGAGACCAGATCGAAATGTCTGTTATTAAAAAACTAAGCTAGAGACAACTAGATATATATTTATATTAAATGCATGTTATAAGTCGTCGTCAAGCACTCTGCATAGACTTAGTGTAGACAAGAGAAGTCATCGCTGAATTTCCCACTAGCTCAGWTCTGAACAAAAATATCATCACATCATCATATACTCATGCAATGTTTCATTCATAAATTTTAGTCTACCATCTGAGAGTTTTTTTTAGTTTCACACTTTACTCACTCATCTATTCAGTTTGTAGTCCAACGACCTTGATCGAGTGCCGCCGGCACTGAATTGAATGGTACCAAAGGAAAATGGTAAAATCCATATGGATGATTATATACATGTATCTGTACTGCTGTCAAKTCTAAAAGTTAACTAGACAAACGTATGCACCTATTTAAWAAAGAAACGAATGGTGAACGGCGATTGTCGAAAGGAAACCAAATGACCGAAAGGGAGTATGCTTACGCTGYCTGACTTTGAAAATTTTACTTCTTTGTGATTCTTTGATTGAAAATGGAGACTAAATAAATTGTTTGCTACAGACTATCTTGAAGTGCAAGTCAGTTGTTATTTCACACTAATTCGCAAAATCCACGGTTCCTTTCGGTCGTGCATTCGACAACTGCCATTCGCCATTTGATCCGACAACCTTTATTGGAAGAAGTATGTTTACATGTAAATACCGTTTGTAAGACAAACATTCACAATGCAATTTAACTAATAAAAGCAAACTGATACTCCATCATCCCATGAGATCATAACTTCGTATACACCTCAATGAAACAAAGAATCAATTAAAAATCGTAATGCTAGCCATAATTCTTAGAATTGTTTTTTGAAAAAGTTGATATTTTTTTCTTTAAATTATACTAATCTGTAATTCTATGTGCCTTTTGGAAAAGAGAGGTAGTTCTTGCGCTTGATATGTTTGTCTGAGGTTGAAAGCGAGCCAAGGCAGTTGGCCAAGTACGGCTTTCTGATTCTTTGTTTTTCCGTGTGGATGAAGTCCTCGTTTGCTTTTCGTTTTTCATGGTCATACCGAACTAGACCAACGATATATGTTATTATATTTGTTGTTTTTTTAATTTGACGTAAACAAAAACAGTCTGTGCGACAAATTGCCTACCTCATATCCAAGGGGACAGAGGTAGATGTTGCTTTTAAATACGAAAAATATATTCAAAAATATATTTTTCGTATTTCGCMCAAAACAAGAAAGTAGTATTTTTATTGAGCTGTTTACTTCAATTCCTCGGTCTTCCATTTTTTAATTATATCTTTACTTGGCATAACATCATTTGTTTTATTGAAGTTATGCCAAAGGATTTTTTAACTATAATCTTGTTGTCCTTATTATCATAAWGATTGGATAGAGTTGACAGATCTCCCATGGTGTTTTGTATAAGTTTATGATGACAATCAACTACCTCATGACCGCATGGCGAGATTAATATATTTATTAGGAGTATAGTATATTACATTCTGTTTTATCGCTTGTTATTAAGAATTGTTGAGTCAGCTGTATACACGAATACCTTAAATATTGTAAGAAAATGTATGGATAGTGTAAATTAAACGTTTATAATAAATTTTTAGGCTGGCAAAATGTTGAAAAAAAAATCTAGTATTTGGTATTTGACAATGCAATAGTTAAACATAAAACAGTCGGTTAAAAAAAGTAGAAAATTGGATCAGGGCTATGTAATTTTCACAAATTACTTCCGACTTAAGAGGACATTCGTTGTGATCTGTGTCAATAGACTGCGCTGTCGATTTATAATTCAAAAAAAGTCATAAATCTTCCGGATGAAAATATTAAAAAACAAAGTCAACAAAAGGACTTTAGACTGAATTAATTCAGTTAATCGATGATGTTGTAGAGAGTGCATACTAGTAGGAAGTTGGCAGCAGATGTTTCTCAGAAAAGGAATAAATAACACTTATATTTGTGCTTGCCATAGATCTGCGAATCGCTATGTTTAAAGGCTCTAGCTTGTTACTCTTTCTGCTACAGTTGCCTTTATCTTACATGTAATCATATCGGAGCAGCATGGAGCTGTATATCTACGTTCTGCTTATTTTCCTAAACAGGATTCAAGGAAACCTCTCGCAGGGTAGGTACAACAAGACAGATTTGTTTTTTAACACATACATGAAAAAGTAAATTTCAACAACGATTTGCAAATATAGAAATGCAAAGATGTACATATTATGAAGAAGAAATATCGACTGCAGGGTTTAATTAAAACTTCAGGGGTAAACACTACTGAGGAATATCATTGGAACTATAAAAAATATCGAAAAAAGCGTTTTCAAACAAACGAACATTTTTAAAGCTGAAAGATTTCCAAAAAATAGGACCTATAAGCTTTACGCTATATAATAAAAACTACGACCTGACAAAAATGGAACAAAAAAAATAAGTAATGCAAACACAAAATACAAAGTAAATATCATTAAATATGGTGACATCTTCAGAAGAAGTAATGATGTGGAAATAGCGGATGTTTTCAATATATCTTCCCCTATTTTATATTCTACATGCATAAACATATAATATCATTATACACGAGCAATATTTCCTTGACTAGTTTTCCTTGACAAGGAAAAATTGCTCGTGTAAATGGGGTACAATGGGCAATTTTTCCTTGTCAAGGACTGAAAAGCCAACATGTTCGCGTTGTCATGGACAAAATTTGCTCGTGTAAATGGACAACACAAGGAAAATGTGGCAAGGAAAAATTGTCAAGGAAAAATTGTTGACCTGACCATTCACACAGGTAATTTTTCCTTGTCAAGTAAAAGCCAACATGTTCGCTTTTCCTTGACAAGGAAAAATTGTCAAGGACAAAATTTGCTCGTGTAAATGGACAACATGGAAAATGTGGCAAGGAAAAATTGTCAAGGAAAACTTGTTGACCATTCACACAGGTAATTTTTCCTTGTCAAGGAAAACTTGTTCTTCGTTTACACTAGCAAAGAAACATTGTCAAGGAAGAATCGTCGAGGAAAACTTGTTGACCATTTACCCGGCAATTTTTCCTTGTCAAGAAATTTTGTCAAGGAAAAATTGCTCGTGTAAACGGCGCTTTACTAGTCAGTGCAATGCTATGAGTATTTAATATGTTAATAATTAATCAATTGTATATGTATTTAATCTAACTGTTAGATGGATGTAAACACATGGTACTAAGGAGGCTCGAAGGAAAAGCTCTCAACAATTTCGTTTTCAAGAAAATGAAAACAGACCAAGACTTCTGCAAAGCTCTTTGTTACATGGATGATAGATGCTTGTCAATTAATTATATCACTGAGAATCAAACCTGTGAGTTGAGTGAATCAGATCACGTGATCAGTCCAGAACACTGGGTAGCCAGGCCAGGATCAGTGTATTACAGAGCTGAGGTTAGAATTAGGTTTCTGTCATGTTTCATTAAAGTGCTACTTGCATGAAAATGGCCTTCAAAAATTCAAGCATTACAAATATATGACTCATTTATATCTATTGAAAACAATTGCGGGAAAATCTTTGTTTTGGAATTGTCCCACATCAGAGAAATTTTGGTTCAAAAGATGGAACAACAAAAGGATGGAATAAATGAGGTCTGATTTACTCCAACATTTTGTATCAATATCTTCTTGAAATCTCTTGCTTCATGGTTATTAGACCCACATGAATAGGTCTATTTGATTTCCAAGACTTTTCTAATGTTTCGCAATTTTTGTCCAAGTAGCCCTTTAAGTACTAAACTGTTTATCCTTTGATTTTGTCAAGATCGCGATCGCTTCTTTTATAATTAAAAAGCTATCAACAATGTTACGCTTTTGTAGCTTGATGGCATCCGCCCCCAAGCGCGCGGAGAAACAATGCAAAGTCACTAGAAACAATGTTTCACTTTTTACAACATAAACGTGAGACGGTAASATTGTGGCCGGAGAACTTACGCATAGAGAACTGTACCTTTTCTGATCAACAGAACAACTGCAGCTGCTCTGGTAATGAGACATGCCGTTATAATTATGAACTGAACTCATTCCAATGCACAGCAAGTAAGTTGTTTYTACACACATT